TGTTGGTGGTTAACCCACAAGGAAAGCCATGCATCACCATAGACCCTTTAACCCACAGAAACAACACTTGCGAACCATTCTGAACCACGAACTACTGCGTGGTCTTGCAACTTGACTGGACCTGAGAGTTAGGCGCCATTAATAATTAATACACAACGTCTTCCCATAGAATAACAGAATAATTAAAATATCTTTGTTACGACATTGTTACGGCAAGATGTGACAAGCTCTTGGGCCGCACATTGAGGGAGTATAACAGGAAGTAAATTAATTCAAAAACACGCTATCAAATACACATACAGCATACACCAGTAACTCAAAACACTACAATTTATTGACTGTAAACCATTAAAGACAAATACACCTTGTAATACTCCTTGTATTAAAATCAAGTTCAAATAAACAAACAATAATCAAACGATGTGTTTCACTGGGTTCAAGGAAACACAAAGGGGTTGACAAAAAATAATACAGACGTATTAATACAAGGACCTAGTCTATATAAGTATAGAATTCACCAAACTAAATTAAAACGAATGCTGCAGAAATCAAAGCACAAAATAATTAGCAAATAAGTTCACACAACACAAGTTGTACCGCCGCACACCAACTAAAGCAGTCCCTGGATTGTTGAATTGGACTTAAATAGTCCACCCCTTTCACCTGATTGGTAAACACGTGACGCTTTCAATGTCATGCACATAAAATGTAATTAATTACAACACACGGGGGTTGTCACAGTCATAGACGTCGTATAGGACAAAGCCGCATCACTTGAAGTCAGAAATCACAGACAATAGATATAAATGAAACAGCTTTACACAAAATTAATAGACAATACATTTTTCATAAATAATGTTTAATGCATGTAAATCTCAGAAAATATCAAATATTTGTATCCTGTGTATCGCGTACTCATGGTCTAGATTTTCAAGCATAGCAATGACCACAAACACACAGTGAGGAAAATTCTGTCACTTTGTCTAGAGACTAAAAAACAAAACCTGACAGATCTTTATGAAAATGGGTTCGATGCAAGTGTGTGTAAGCTAAGAACTACAGAAAATGTCTGAGATTCATGAGATTTCTCTATTCTTTGTAAGTAGAAAATCCAAGCACAGATATATTAGCTTGTTTAAATTAATTTGCAAAGCTTGCAACTTGAAGCTTGTTTGCACAATTAGAAATGTTGTTACTTATGCACAAATATGTTTTAAAAAAGCAATCAGTTTGTATCACCTCTGCGTGCCAAACGGCCCTGTGGCCAAGCTAATTTTCCATTTGTCTTATAATGTGCAGTACCCTGTATTTCACATTTCCAGGAATCCTCTCAAACTGCTCTCCCACGCTTTGACGGCATGTGCTGTTCTCCATATGTGCAGTCGTATTTAATTTCTGGTTAGAGTTTCCCAGTGCTTTCCTGGATTTCATCAGCTCAGACTCACACCTGCTGATGATGCTGAGAGCCCACATAAAAGCACCAGAAAGACATGTAAAGCATGCAAACATCTTGTCTTGTAAGACACCTCTGCCATCTTTTAGCACAGGCTCAAGTTTTCCAAAACGAAGAATTTTAATGAGCTTGCTTGGAATAATGGCTGTTGATAAATGTGGGCATCTGTTTTTGACAACAGAGATGTGAAAGAGTATGTTCTAAATCATTGCAGTTAAATTAAAAAAAAAAAATACACTGATTGTTCCCAGTTTCTAAATGTGCATGTTACGAATAAGTGCAAGGAAAGATCAAATGTTATAATGTTATGGCTTATAAAGGTTTGTTCACAGTTTAATACTAGTATTCTCTTTGCTGTGCATCACTGCTAGAGTTAAGTACACTAAACAGTTAATAACACTCAAGAGTATATGTAAATTTTACTGGTCCAGTATAAAGGTACATCAACTAAAGATCACTTTTTAAATATAAATTAGCCATCTGAAATGATTTGCTGAGAAGCTGAGCACTTGTGGACCATTGTGCCTTTGTCGTCCATCACATTCAAAAGTATTCTGACTTGGTATTTTTAACTTATTTAGTTTTGATAGTTTTGCATTTAAGTGAATATTACAAGAGTTATGACATGTATTTTGCAAGGTAATTCAAACTCAAGATGTGCAATCATCATTCAGTTTAGATTTGCAGACCTCTATTTGGCGTAATCAGTGCCATGTAGTGGTGAAAATAAAGGATAACCCTTGGAAGTACAATGACTGTGACATGGCTTGTATTTTTCCAATTTTTGGCACAAAAAAGCACAATTGAAGAAAAAAGTCTTGGAACAGTGTATAAGGTTTGTGTATGATAGTTCCCATGCATCCTGTGAGATTTTAGAACAAAACATACAAAGTATAATGTTTAGTAATTAGACACAACAATCATGCTAGTTTAAAAAAATGTATTTTGTGTGAGGGAACTTATTAAGTTTAGTGCTTTGTTTTTAATACCTCTCTGCCAATTTAGGGGTAAAAAAAGAATTTGCCTTTTTAAGAGAAAAATGTATATCTTAATGTTACAAGCCTTGTTTTCCTAATTATTCAACTGGTCTCCATTGGAGCTTCACAGAACAAAGTAAAAAGCATTTGTTTTTTTTTTACCGTCTACACCTGTGGCTAAATGTGTGTATGTTTAAGCATTGTGGTTAGCATGCTGGAACTGTGAGCTAAGTGCTGGACATATAGTGATCCATTCAGATGAAGCATGAAATGAGAAACGACTTTCACTGGAGCACAGCTCTATAGGATTCAGACTCTGCCCTCAGGTCTGAAGGAACCTGAGCGTGTCGTTCCATTGGTGTTTAATGCAGATCAACCAGCCTCTCCAGACGGATGGAGACAGATCAGGAGGTTTAGCTGAAGATTACGTCCTGGGAGAAAACAAACCAAAGCCTGTGAATGCACATTGATCCTGTGTTTTTGCTGAAGATCAAATTCACAATCTCCTACATTGGCCGGCTATAGAAAGAATTTTTGTTATTGTTATCTGTAATCTTAAAAATTATCGTAAGTAGTTCCTTCTTAATATATTGATGCATAGCTTGTAAAAAAAAAAAGATTTAAAGATGCAGAACTCAACACATAAAATAAAAGTAGATTTCCAAAAATGTACTCTATATACAATGTACATGCCAAAAACATATATATTCATCATTCATTCATTCAATCATTTTCCAACCCGTTTTATTCCTGTTTTGTGGTCATGGGGGTCTGCTGGTGCCTATCTCCAGCGCACATTTCACGAGAGGGGGGGTACACCTTTGAAGAAAATCATGTTTATTGTAGGTAAATTGGGTAAATGTGTTATTATTTTCAAAATAGGTTTTCCTCCACTTTATACCCACTTTTAAAGAGTGTAGGCTTTTTAACCACTCTCTTTTGGAGGGAGGGAGGGGAGAGAGAGAGAGAGAGAGAGATTGAAAAGTTTGAAATGGTGCACTTGCATACGTAATAGTGGGCACCGTATGTTTGAATACAAATGATGTCAAAGTCAAGTCTATGATGCAAAGATGGTTAGGCATGACTACTTATTTCTTTTAGCTAATCTTTTAAGCATTCACTCTTGAGTTTGGTGCACATTCACGCTGATTCAAAGAAAGTTTGTAATTAAAATGTAGCATATATTTAATTTTTTTATATATTTTAAGTCTATGCTCTGGTTTTGTAAGTGGCCTCTACCTCTTCTTTTAAAAGTAACTGTACCATGAGTAAACTTTCAGCAAGCTCCTGGATGTCTTGATAAACATATTATTTTCATAATATGATCATGAAAGGGAACAAGCGGATTAGAAGAGGAAGAATGAATATCTCAGTTAAACTAAAAATATAAAATTAGGATTGTAAGAAAAAAAAATCATAAGGAGGAAAGGGCTTTCAATAGGGTAAATTTCTTTTAATGCATTAATGTTTGCACCTCTCAGTCCTTTAATGGTTATATTAGTGACTAACTGGTGCAAAAAGGTCATCTTTTTTTAAATGTAGTAGTTTGGTAATGAGGGAAAATTTGAAGTTCTTTATTCTGGTATACTCCTGTCCAAATCCCTTGTTCACTTGCTTGTCTTCTGCCCCTGGTCTGTTCTAATGACAGTCCGGGTGTTATTGTGTGAGAGACGTGTTATTTGATCGCAGTGAGAGTGTTGACAGACCATTAGTCAGACAGGCTCGAGGTGTAAAGTTCACTTCCCACCCCAGATGAACATGCAGGTGAGGGACAGCGAGAAGTGTGTGTGGCACCTCTATGATAAACACACAAGTCTTTCAACTAATGGGAGGAGAGATGTAGAGTATGGATAAGGATGGGAGATCGGCATAGGGATAGCAGTCGAAAGGGATATAGATACCCCAAAAGCAAATCTACTAACTCACACACGGGTTTAAAGGAGCTTTATAAAAGCCCTCGAATGTACCCACTGTATAGTCTGGGAATTAGATACTCCAACCCAGGCTTCCTCAACCTCCGAGATATGCCCTGTCAATGGTATGAGTGCAAATGGAAAGAATTTGTATAATTTTGTTTTGATTTTTAGACTCCAAAGGTGTTTTATTTTGAAAATGACTGATCATTCACTTTTCTGTGCCTCTTTATACATCATTGTTTCATGTGAAGCGTGAATAAGTCTCTGCCACTCTGGCTAGCCTCAAATCACGAAGCCTGTTTACGATGCAAAAACTATTCATAATTTTGCCTTAATTTCAAATGGGATTCAATTTTATTCTTTTCAATCTTGCTATTGGTTGCATTAAGTGTGAATTAGTTGAAAAACCACAAAATACATCAAGGAAGTGACATGAGTTGTTTGCTATTATTTGCTACTAGAGTGGTATCTTGCACATCTTTGGTTCAAATCTTCTGAAATCTACGTTCTTTATAATAAAATGAGTTTGGTGCACATGAACTCTGGTTCAGAGACAGTCTCATCAAGTTTGTACATTTACATTTATGCATTTAGCAGGTGCTTTTTATCCAAAGTGACTTAGATTTCAAACAATTAACTCATTTAATCGGTTGTTGCTTTCCCTGGGGTTTGAACCCATGACTTTTGTGTTGCTAGTGCAATGCTCTACTGACTGATTCACAGGAAAGTTTATTATTAAAGTATGTCCCATATTTAAACTTTTATTTGTTTGTCCTTGCTCTGTTTTGGTAAGAGTCCTTTATGACTTCTTTATCTCTTAAAGTTTCACATAGTTGTTAGTAAGTTGAGGTTATGTTAACTATATAAATATTTTGTAAAATTGTAGTTCTGCCTGTTTCATTATTGGCCAGTTGTAGACATGTTAGTGTATACTGTAACAAGAAAAACCCATTTATTGACCCATTTATTGGTTGGTTGGGTAGCAACAGGTGGCAATATGTTTCCTTCATGAATAGCACCTGTTCACTGCATTCTTAAAAGCTGATTGGAGGATATTAGCACAGATCTGTAGACCAGAGGACACCACACAGACTTTTGAAGCCATGGTTGCTAATGAGTTCATTTATTGCAGATTAATTAGGAGATGGGACTGGGAGCTAATGACACAGAATGTATCGTACACAAGTGTCTATCTAAGGTTCCATTTAAGCAACATTCTTTGTCCCTCAATTGTAGCTATTTTGAATTAATGTAGTTAAGTAAATAGCAGAGAAAATAAAATTTTAAATATTATTAATATAATGAAATTTTAAAATAAATAAATAAAAATCAATTAATTGATCCCAGCTCTATTTACCTCTATCTTAAAATTACTCTATATTACCAATTACTTCTATATTATCTATATTTCTCACTTATTGGCTTTATGTAGGCGGCACAGTGGGGCAGTGGGTAGCACTGTGGCCTTCCAGGTAGAAGGTTGTCGGTTCGAGGCTCGCCGGTGACCTTCCTGGTGTTTGCATGTTCTCCCTGTGCTTGCGTGGGTTTCCTCCGGGTACTCCGGTTTCCCCCCTGAGGTGTGCATGTGTGTGTGTGAATGTTGCCCTGTGATGGACTGGCCAGGGTGTACCCCCGCCTCTCGCCCAATGTGTGCCGGAGATAGGCACCGGCAGACCCCCGCGACCCCGAAAGGGAATAAGCGGGAATGAAAATGAATGAATGAATGGCTTTATGTATACGAATGAAAATAAAAACGGTGAGTAAAGAATGAACGACACAGTAATGAGTAAGTCATTCATGTAAGGTTGCAGTTTAATTAAATATCTCTTAGAATCCTCTTGAGATGGCAAATTTACCATGCTGAAGAGTCCTTGACTTAAACCCAAGGTCAGTGTTTCTGAGGGCTAAAGACAAAAAAAATAAATAATAATTGAGATCAACTGCATATTAATGACTTGCACTGTGCTTGTGATGAATGTAGTTATCCATACAAATTACAGTTTAAAGATTATCTTTAATTGCCTGGGCCTGATACATATTTTATCTCTGCGAAGATGCATATTGAATTTGTAATTCCATTTATCTCAGCGGTTAACGGATATGAGGAAAATGTGTTTCCTGTTACTGCTCGATTGGAATCTCACGCAGCTGTTTCTGAGCAAATCCTTCCACACAGTAAAGCCTGAACCCTCTGGAAAGAAGAAACTTTATCTTGCCAGAGTGAAAATAATCACAGTTTTCTGTGAGTATATAATTGAGGGCAGCCCTTGAAAGACAATGGAAGAGATTGAAGTGGCCTGGTTAATTGTCTGTAGGTTTGTGCACCGTGTCTTGACTCTAAAGCAGAGATTCCCTGAGCAATCCAGTGGATGAGAGCTGAATTAGATGGGAGAATATAGCTGTGAGATTATTCACATTACAAGCTATAGCAGTTCTTGGGAAATGAGAGTGAATTTTATATGGGGAGTTGTTCTGAAGCACTCTCTTTCATAGCTCTGATTTCATTTAAGCATCATCACCCTTGCGAGATTTACAGAGAGTATTGGAATAAGCTATGAAATTAATGTTGATAACACCCAATAGAATTATTATGCTCATTATTATGCAAAACTACTTTTTTTAAATATCAAATTATCATGTCCATTGCAATCCATTTATCCATTTTCTTTCCCGCTTAATCCCTTTTGGGTTCATGAGGGTCTGCTGGTGCGAGAGGTGGGGGTACACCCTGGACAGGTCGCCAGTCCATCGTAGGGCAACAACATTCACTCACACATTCACACTTAAGGGGAATTTAGATTATTCAATTAACATAACCGCATGTTTTTAGAATTGTGGGGAAAACTAAAAAACCACCGGGCGGCCCATGTCCATGTATCGGAAATGTTTAGGGATTTAAATGCATAAAAGAACTAAATATACCAAAAATGACTGTAGTTAGAAACACATATAGAGAGCTCTTTAATATTCCACCAGAAAATTACAATTCTTGCTGCTTGATTTTATAAAATAAGGTCTGGGACCACCCAAAAATAGCTTAGACCACTGATTTTATGAGGTGTAAAATTGAGACAGAACTATCAATGTGACAGAACTGTAGCTCTTGAATTTAATACCAAGAGGCACTTCAATTCAAATCATGTTAACTACTAATTTACCTGGTTTAAAGTAAAAAAAATGTATAAGCAAGGTTTAATTTTTTTTCTTAACAAGAGTCCACAAGTTAAGGCTCTAAAATTATTTCTAAAAACTATTTTTTACAAATAAGATAATATATAATAATTAGAACTAATAGCATAACAATTTAGATGCCAAATCTTTGTTTTGGGGGTACTACTTTAATCTGTTAACTGCTTAGAGTCAGAATTAGCATCCAAATAAAACAGCAAAAATCTAGGGGGGAATATGACAAATAGCAGAGGAGCTCTCCTTTTGTAAGGCCGACAGATGGTTAAGAATGGCAGATGACATAAAGGACAGTAGTTGTAAACAAGTTAAAAGGACAAGACAAGCCGAAGGAAGAATACGAGAGGCAAAGAAATTGTAAACTAGCGAAAACTCTACGATCATAAGGACACTGATGCTTTATGCAGGGCTGAGCATGCAAACCCCTTAAGTAGCTGCCGCAGCCAGAGAACATTAGTTAAAGATGCACAACTAATTAAAGACAGCCAGATAGATTTTGGTAAGAGACAACAACCCTGACACACAGATACTATGACAGGAAACTAATACGCTAGTGTTTTTGGTGTTATATGAGGTCATACACATCAAATTTGGTATGCGTTTTTATTCAGCTGACTGGTTTTAATCTTTCACTTACTGCCACCTTGTTAATTTGTAGATCAAATAAAAACCCAGAAACCAGCATTTTAAGTAATCTCAGATTTGCTGACAGCTCCAACAGAGTCAACATTACAGGATCAGAAAACTTATTGACCTTTCAACATAGACCTTTCAACATTTCAACATAGAGGAGAATAGCAAACAGTCACATCAGCTTCTGACTGAGCCTGCATTTAGATTTGCAGACGTCTGTCTTCACTTTCTCTGAAAGCCGTACATTTAACTCAAGTGTAATGGAGAAAAAATGTTTTTCTTCAATGATGGATAGAAAATTTATAATATTGACCAACTATACATTTTCTTTTTCAAGAAATCAACAGTATTTAGATTTTTAAAGCTATCTTTTCAGTTAGGGCAATAATGGTGCAAATGCTACTAATCAATTGGTTAAACACAGAAGGTGAGCAGAGCAGTACATTCTAAAAATGTGTACATTCTGAATATGTTAATACTTGGGTGATCTACTACTTCTCGCAAGAGTCTAAAATATGCACTTTTGTCATTTATTGTTTATACCCTTCTCAAAAGAAACGCTTTTCATAGATATAGTGTTAGAATATTTATAGAATTTGGGACTAGAATCTGGATAGAATCTGGTGTGCCTCAATATGAAAAAAAGCTTGGGAAAAAGACATGGTACTAGTTTAGCCTATGGAAAAGAAGTTTGAAGCCCTTTTGTACATTTCTTCTAGTTGTAAAAGATATTGTTACTGTGAAATACAACTTAGCTCATACCGCCCAGCTCTACTGTCCCAGAATTCTCAAAGGGTGTTATATTAGTGTCACCCTAAATTTGTACATTACTTAGTCAGATCAGCATATAGTCCATTTTGCATGTTTGCATTTTTCAGGCCAGTCAGTCTCCATTAATGTCTAACATTTTACCATAGAGCTTTTTTCAGGAAGCATTCTCAGAGTGCTCTGTCATTTAGCTTTACTTTAAAAAGTGCTCAATCTCCCTCAAGAGCAATCCCGATTAAGTGTCTTGCTCAAGGGCGCAGCTCTGATAGGGGAGTTTTGTATCTTTCCACTATTCGTAGATCCACATACATAGAATCCATTGTGATACCTTTATAGAATGTTAAGAACCAGCACCATTGGCTGTGTTTTGACACCACACATCCTCACTGTAATGCCTTTCACCGCATCCATGCACCCTCCGAAGGTGGCCCCCTTAGAAAAACAGAGATGTGCTTTGCAATCCCTTTCTCTTGAAATCTAAAACAAGAGGCGGACATAACTCCTCTCTGCCCTGATGGGTGCTATCTGAGTCTAAGCTGGCTTCAATAGACCCTCATTCGCTCCAGTGGTGTACATAAGGACAGGCCTGAGCATGTTGGCTGAGAATGAACAGAGAGAAACCTGAGCCTTGAGATGCTCATGGGCCACCTATAGAGAGGAGTCTGGATGCTTTTCCCAAATGCAGAGTTGAGAAACATGCTTCAAGCTGTCTAGGAGTCAAGCTAATGGAAATTAGTTTGAATTACTAGGTCAGGAAAGCACATTAATCACCAGTAAAAACCCCTACTGTTAACGTGTACAACGTGCTATCATCATGCATCATGGAAATCACTTGCTGCTGAGCATGGAAATCTATGGATACAGCATTATTTAATTTTAATGTGTTATAAAATGAAAAGGGTTTTGTTGCTAGTGAATGTTTTTGTTGTCTGAATTTCTCCAATGGTGTGTTCTTTATATCATAGTGTATAAAGTGTACGTAGTGTGTTTCACAAATATGAAATTTGCAAGAAGCTCATAAATGTAGCATTATGTAAGCACCGGCAGACCCCCGTGACCCCAAAAGGGAACAACCGGATTGGAAAATGAATAAATGAATGAATAATAATAATAGTAAAATAAAATAAATTTACATCAACCAT